GCAAAAATGTTACTCTCTTGTTGTGCAAAGCAAAATTGACTGACTTGCAGCTGCAGTTGCAGCAAACAGGGTTTCTACAAAAAAAAAAAACTGAATACTTTTGCAATGTGCTGTACACGTTGACGTCCTTCCAAAAACATTGTTTATGTCTCTAAAAAGAAATGCAGCTAATAGCTACTAATCCATGGCATCTGCCCTGTTTGGAGTTGGATCTAGGGAAGAGAAACAGAGTGCATGGATTACTGAGAGGAGTGAGAACACCTCCGTCTAACATGGAGTGCTGAAAGAGGCCGAGCTTGTGGAAAGGTGTGCAGTGAGAACAGAGATAGACCTGTTATCATGTAACAGGGGCCCCGATTAGAAATGACCTTGAACAGACAAGGGTGCATGGAACGCGCACACACACACGGACACGCACAACAGGGGTCACGGGGCACAAAGAGCCACTGTGTCAGGTCACAGAACACAGAGAGAAGGATATAAGATTTGAGGGATGCGATATGACTAATATGAGGGGTTTTGCAAGCTTTGGGCAGTGGGGAGACTGGCGTTACAGCCAGGGGTGACTGACACTGTTGATCTGTATCACACATCAGAGCGGATCACACAAAGCGGAGCAGACCAACCTCACAGTCAAGTATGGGCACACAACTCGCAAAATAACATTTTGTAACTCATGCGCCTCTGCGGTGACAGCGCTTCCATTTGAAAGCAAATATGAGTATTTAAACCCTAAACCACAACAAAAAATAAATAAAAATCTTTCTGCATTCAAGTGTCTTAGATTTATTTCCCAGATGACACAAAGATGCAATTTATTCTGTGAAAATGCAGCCTCAAGCAAAAAAAAAAAAAAAAAAAAAAAAAAAAAACGTCAAAAACTTCTTCACCCAAACGGTTATTTCAGCTCCTCAAAGGAAGAGTTCAAAGATCAGCACCTAGCAGGATGAGACAGGGTACGGCGTGGCTTGCATGTTGATCAGGTTACACACTTCAAAGAAGCGCTGCCATGCACAGCCAGCGATGAGAGCAAAGAGGCCAACTAAAGAGCCACATTGTCATTCTGCCAATATTGCCACTGCCAGGGAAAGGTAGCTCATTTTTTTTCTAATATAATTGGAGGATTTTTTCCCCCTCTATCAACAAAGGTTCTGAAGAATATGATCTCTTCCTTTGAATTTTCTGAATGGCTTAAAACATTCTCAGACAACTTTGCTTGAGCAGAGAATGGGAATGATCCATAGATGGCACTGTTGGCTAATGCTACAAGTCTGCACTGCCAGCCTCGCAAACAGAGGAGGAGGAGGGGGGAAGAATATCCGCTTTTAAAAGTCATCAACTTTGGATCTGGGAAGAGGGAAAAAAAAAATAATCTTTCATCTACATGCAAGTGTTCTTTGCCAGATATAAGCTTGTAGCTTGAAAATAATTCAACCTTCTAAGGAGTAACTTTAAAATGTTCATTAGTTATTTATTCCATTTATTTCTTCCTATTTGACATTTGTTTCTAGTGTTTCTTCAACACTTTTTATTATTTGTTACTGTTTGCTCAAAGTGGCATTTTCTTAGTTTTATGTCCCTTTTAACCTCTGCACAGCACTTTATCACATTCCTCTATAAAAGGTGTTCTATGAATCATAATAAAAAAGTAATTGATTGCTTTTAAGTTATCATTTTAATTTTTATATTGTTTTTATTTTATAGCAAAAATGTTTTTACTATTAGTTTTATCAAAATCTATTCTCTCAGCAATATGTAAAATTTTTGTAAACCCCAAAAATCATTTTTTCTGTTTGTTTTTATAAGAAAAACAGTGAACCTTAAAACACTAAAAATGACCTTAAGACATGTAAATAATTTGTTAAAGTTGAATTTTGTAGGAAAGTTGACAATATAAATAAAACTGACCACAATATGTATGCAGAGCACAAGATCCAACTAGGAAACAGCCTCAGAGAGCAGCAGCTGAAACTGAAATCTGAGCCATCAAGTTGTACTCTTATGGTTGCCATCACTCAGTAAGCAAAAGAGGAAGCCTGTTGTTTATGGTGAAGGATTGTTGATGACGGTGAGAAGGGTAAATGGGGACATGACTGGAGTTTCTGCAGGCCTACAAGGGCCCCATGGGAGTCCAACTGCCCTGATCTATGGCCAGTCAGACTGAAGAGGTCAGGCCAGAAGAGCCCTGGAAATGGGAAATTAGCAGGCTTTTGCAATTAGAGAAATGGCCACAGGCAAGGATGGTGTTGCCTCACATGCAACAGAAATATTTAAATGTAAATGATTACGAGACGGCATAAAAAACAGAAAGCAGGCTGTGTGAAGTTGCATATAATCACAGCACGAAGACTACATCAAGAGGTTTTCGATTTAAAAGTGTGTGTAAAACTGGGCGATTTATTTACAAGATGATAAAAAAAAAAAAAAAAAAAAAAGGGCAGGCTGAAGGTTTGAAATGCCCCCAGGCAGTCTGACTGGCCCTTGCCACTAGGTCTGAATGTGTGAACATGCAGAAACCCCAGAGCAGCCCTGCGTTCCAGATAAACATGTCTCCACATCAGCTCTTTAGAAAGGACCACGAGAAAACGCTATCTGTCTTATTTCCAGCACATCGAGCCAGCTCTCATCTGAAAAACAAACTCCACACTCCCAAAAGAGGCGTTTAAATTTTGATGTATCTGGCTAAAATAGGAGGTTGTGTAGGGGTGCGGCGGGAATAATGCGTTACTCTGCACAGGATCAATCCCCGCACACTGTTTGCGCTGACAGCAGGAAGAGCTTTTGCCGCGGTTGAAGTTTCTGTCCAGGTAGCTTCCTCATGGCTGCAGGCGGTCAGATAGGCAGCGCTGAGTTAACCACACATGCACTTATCTCAAAGCTGTCAGTCAGCCACCCCTGCACCGCACCGGACCACCGAGGTCCTCATACATAATTTGCCATCAAATGAATATTTTCTCAGCGTCCTAGCAAACGGGCTATTTGATGAAATATTCATTCGGTGATTAATTTTTGCATCTGATCTTCTGTCAACTGAGATAAAAAAAAAAAAGTGAACTTTTCCTGTGAAGCCATTGTTGAAGGGCACCTCTCTCCAACTTTGCACATAAAACTTTGATGAACTGATGCAGCATGCATACTATTGTTCCGGAGTGAGACGGAGAGGCAACTTACCACACTTACAAGTGAAGTTATGGCATACTAAATGAGACAGACTAAAAGCACAAACACGACTTTTTACTCTTCTGAGCAGATTAGATGCAGATGATAACAGGTGTTATGAAGAGTGCAGCAGCTCAGCTGATGCTACAACATAAGCAGCAGCTCCTTACTGCAGTATGAGGAAACAGATGGTTAGACTCCATCATACATCATTCATACGTTGCACACATTTATCAACCACCTTTTCTTAGCAAAACCAGACTAAAAGTAAATAAAAGGCTCATTTGGAATTATGATAAGTATAGTGAAAATGTCTACTTGCCAAAGTAATTTGACCTTTTTGGACAACAAATACAATGAGAAAAGCGTAAAACTGGATGGAACGGGTTTGGAAAAAAAAGCATGTGAGACTGAATCTTCTTGAGCAGCAGGAAGTAAGCGTCCGTCACCAAGAAGAAGGAAAAGAGTGAACATATGGAATCGTTTCAAATCTTAAAAAAGGCATTTTGCGAAGCATGTGGAGCAACGATACCTGGCAAAACACAGCAACTTGAAGAGACATCTGGAAGCAGACCATCCCGCACATCCTAGATCAGACATGTTGGGGTCAAGACCTGCGGGGCCTGGGCTACAGACCCAGATAAGAAGTGAATGTAGCTCATAAAACTGAACAAACCTCAAGCTGAGACAGAAGTTACTTCGTAAGCCACAAATCCTGCTTCGCAGTTCAGTTTCACTAAACTAAGTATGGATATTTGCAAAAAATGTAGACTTCTTTTTCTCAGATCTTTTGAACCATTTAATAGGGCTCCCTTTGCATTTGATTCAACCATAATGCTACCACCGTAGGCATCCCATATGCACTGTAATTTTTCTTTAAAATCTTCATATTTGTCCTACATTGAAGAGGTTTTTGCATGTCCATCACCAGTTCTAGCTTTGTTGTGGAGGAATAAACCAATAAAAGGTTTGGTTATATTATCAGCAATGCAGATTAGGATAGTTTCTGCAAAAAAGTGCTGTATGCCATCTGATCCTGCGCAAAAGATTTGTAAAAATAAATTTAAATTAAAAAAAACTGTAACACGAAAAATGTACAACTCCTCTCACGAAAGGAAATAATATTCACCAATGTCACCCTTGAAATATATTCTAATATATTTCAATACTGCACAAAATACTGCAATGTATTTCTGCTTCTGAAAGGGTCTCTTCACTCAACCAGTTTACATGCGCAATTTGGAGGTGTGTGTGTCTCTCTATGGCTGAAAGTCCAGTAGCATCAAGACCCCAGGAAACCATTTAATTAGCAGTGACGTGAACGTCACCTGTTGACATTTAATTATTCGTAGCACTATCAAGTTTGGGTGTGAGGATTCTTCCACACAGCACTTAACATGCTGCAGCCATGTCACTACAGAGGTTTTGTGCTTGTGCAAAAAGATCAAGGACCTGTCCAGCTCCGTCATGCAGAATGATGTCCCACAGTAGCCTCCACCAAGGCCATACAGACACAAGTCGTTATGAAAAGGGGTTCTAAAGGAAAAAGATGTGTTTATTAATTGAAACCTTCATCAACATTTTCAGATTCCAGTATAGGCTGCAGGTTTCAGGTGGCTGTGCCTGGTTTCCTCTTCCAATGATTTAAAACTGATTGGGCTGCAGTTAGCATGTAACACCATTATTTTTTTACTGCCATTGTACAACACAAAATATTTCTAAACCTTTTTTTTTTTTCAGTAGTTTCAATTCTTTGTAAAGTAGTTTACTGTGAGATGATGAGGTAAGAAAAACAAAGAGGAAAAAAAAAATCCATAAATTCTTCTTGAGATAAAACCTACCTTAACGAGGTACAGCAGCTGATACAGGTCTTCCACCTCATCCCCTTCTGTCTCACTGTAATTTCTGCTCGTGTCCAGGCTGGAACCTTGTATGGTACGTCTATAAAGAGGCAACTCCATCGCATCAGCGTACAGCTCTATTGCCTGATGACCCACCGTCTGGTACATGTAGCTGTCCAATTCATCTATAGCATAAGGGAAAGTGTTTTGGAGTCAAAATCTGACGGCAGTGCATATATGGAATGAAATGACATCGGACTTATATGGTACATTGTCAGGACACTCAAAGATGCTTTACAATGATATCAGGCATTCCCATTCACATGCTGATGATGGCAAGCTAATGGATTGTAGCTCCACAACGATGGACACAGATTGCAGGACAAACTAAAACTCTGTCACCCCAATGTGTATAAGATGTGTTTGGAAATAAAAAAAAAGGATGCTAGCAGAAGTGCATCAAAATCTGAAATCAACAATGGAGCCATTCACTGTAAAATTACCATTTTAGTTAAGGACCATTGTATATTGCTAAGTTACTGTAAATTAGCAATATACCACTTTAACATGGCTTACTGTAAACATTATTACAGAAAACCACAATATAAAAAGAAATAATTTAAAGATAATTATAATATATTTGGTGAGTAATTACTTTTGAATCCCTATTCTTAGACATGATTCCACCCTGATGCAGTCACATGTTGTTCTTACAAATCTGAGATTTGCTTTCTGAGTAGTACAATGTATTTTTCAAACACATTTTTTAGCACAATCAAGCAACTGCATTATCTTCAGATGATATAAAAATACATACATATCAAAAATAAAACGTAAAAGAAATTTCACTTCATAATTTGGTGGCTTGAAATTGGAGCTCTGTCTCTTTAAGAAACTCCAACTAATTGCTGCTGCTGCTAGTCTGGTGGAGCTGAGTAGTGGAGAAACAGGAGAGGGGTCCTCAGTGAGGCAATAGCACTGCTGGCGAATATAGCTCTGAGGAGAATCTTTGTGGAAATAGGTGAAACCTTTGTGGGAGCAAACATTTAGTCATGTTTAGTCAAGTGGCTGCCACAGGATAGTCAAGGATTCCTGAACCGAGCCAGAGTCATTTTACTCTGTGCGCAGTCTGGTGGGGTCACATTGACCCTGTATGAACTTTTACAGTGGATTTTTGTGGAAATTGACTGTCTTGCTAAGACCGCAGGAGAATTAGCCTTCCATGACAGAATCAAAGTGATAGTCCAGGTATGTTTGATGAGGGAATAACATTATAACATTATATAAAGCTTAAAAAGTCAAACTTACATAATACCCCCATTTCATAAAACAATTTTCACCATTTCTCTGATTATTTGGCACATGCTTTGTATGAGGCTGGAGACAGAACAACTATGATTTGATTTAAAAAAAACAAAAAAAAAAACAAAAAAAACATGTAAATTAAAGCATCTGCTGGTTTTGATTGGCATATTTACGTTTGTATGTACTTAATGAAATCTTCCTAGTGAATTGGGTGAAGAACAAAGCAGATGATGGTCAATAAAATAATAATAATAAATAAATAAAAATAATAAATGTCCAGAGTGTGTATCCCATTTTACAATAGTTACATTTGTTGCCATGTTCACCTTGTGTGTGAAGTTACTTTCTGAGTATTCCGGCTTCCTCCCAGTCCAAAAACATGCAGTTATTACACGGTGAGGGTGTAAATGCATGTTTGTTGGTCCAGTGTGTCTCTGTGTTGCCCTGCAATGTTCTGACAATATGCAAAGGTGTATCCTGCCTGTCAGCCTTTAATGACCAGCCATCCTTTTACCTTTTATCTGGGTACAGATGCATAAAAAAGGAAAAGAGTATTGTTGTTCTATCTGCAAATTGAACCAATTTTCTCAGTACAGCAAACAAAAACTTCCAAAGTTGTACTGAAATATCTATATTTTTTTGCAAAATATCTGTTCTACATTTTATTTCTTGATAGAAATTATAACTTTACTTATAAAATATTTATATTTGAAAGAGATGAATGATATATATATATATATATATATATATATATATATATATATATATATATATATATATATATATATAAAGCAAAATTAACACAACCTATTAATTACAGAGAAGGGCAAAGTGTAATACTTCTGTGACATATACAAATGCATGTCGACAAGCGTACTGGCTGTCCCAAACACAATATGTACCCTCTGAGGATCATTGTGGATCCAAATAAGCTATGTCAGAACATTTTCCTCACCTGTGTGAGCAGGGCGCAGGTTGGCCAGAGCAACAATCTTGTGTCCAGCAGCAACACACTGCATCATGTTGTAGCAGCTGTCTTTGCCCCCACTGCACACAGCATCACAAACAGGTAAAACGGTAAAGGCAGAGTTACAGCAGTAAGAGTGAATATATTATTATAAGGACTGAGTTGCAAATGCAACTATCACGCTTGAATTAATTTATACTTTTCTATAGACATTTATGACAACTTCTAACTTATTCTAAGCGGTGTGTGTTGCAAATAGTCGAAGTTTGAATGAAGGCAGCCTCTTTAAGATGCTGGTTTTGACGTTCTGCTAACAAAAAACAGAGAGCTGTTATTACCTGATTAACGCAACCACTTTCATCTTCTTATAACCCGTCTTTTAGTCTGTTGCTATAAAAGGGAAGCAGAAACTACTGTGACAGTGTGATAAGTGCTCTTAGCAACCGGTAAATGTACACAAAACCATGTGAGAGGAAGCTTCCGGGTTACCGAGGACCCCGTTGGAAACATTAGACGGCCTTCAATGTGCCTGAATGAAAACTTGATTATTTTTAACGGTTGAAAAAAAAGGGGTTTATTTTAACTTTTTGCAGATCACCAAAGGTTTCGGGGCTGTATAAGGTTAATGTAGACATAGTAATATCAGACAAAGAAATATCTGCTGTATAAAAAAATGAAAGAAGCATCACAAGCATAAAAAGGACTATAATCTCATGAAATTAAGGAATAGAACCTGTAAAATTCTCACAACTAGCAAGCTAAATACTCTG